GGCGGTTCGTTCCAGGAAGTCTCTCGGGGCGTGCCCGGAACGGGGTGCCACCCACCAGATCGGGGAGAAGAGCGGCCAGCCCCACTAACTGGAGGTGTTTTTTCTTTACTGGTGAATTGCCACCCGACCGACCCGCCGAGGTTCCTTCTTTCTTTTCTGGCCCGACCCGCCGCTGGTGGTTTTTCTTTCGGGGCGAATTACTTCTGGGCCACGTTTGGGCCACCCCACATTTCGGCCACCCCACACTTGGGCCCTAAAGGGACCTGTCTCTTCACCCCACAGTTGGGCCACCCCTCACTGCCACCCGCCCGCTTCGCCCCTTCTCGCGCTCCACTCGGGCTCGCCGCCGGGACTGGGGAAGCCAGAACGTACCGATACCGCTGCTCCCCGGGGCCTCTCCAGGGGCGCGCTCTGGCCAGGATCTCGAGGCGAATGCAGCGGTGGCGACGAGGGCCTCCCAGGAGGCCCACACAGGGGACAGCGAGGGAAGGGCAGCGACATGGGCACCTCGTCCTTCTCCGAGGGGCGCTTGCGCGCGGAGAGGCCGTGCCGCTGCGCGCCCGCAACGGCCCCGGCGGCCGAGAACGGGGCCCTCGCGCGCGCACGCGGCGGGCCCGCGCTCCCGGCGCGTGCCGCGGCGCGCCGCGAGGGGAGCAACGGGGCAGCACCGCCGACGTCGACGACGACGACGGCGACGGCGACGGCGACGGCGACGGCGACGACGGCGACGACTTTGCTTCGGAGCTGCGCGACCAATTGTCTTGTTTTTTGCGTCAGCGCAATATTTTGGGAGAAGAAGGAGGGGCAAGCAGGCGCGCGACCAACTGTTTGCGCTCGCGGTCTGTCTCATCCTGATGGTAGCCTGCGTCTCCCGCGCCCAGTCCTGCCACCTGCCGAGCTGGCCCAGCTCTCTGTGAAGCTCATTCTCTCGTTTGAGCACTGCCTGGTGTACCCAGCGTCCGCTGCGGCAGCTCGACGGGCATTACACGCATTCGCATGGGAGCCTTGTCGAAGACATCGATCACCGGCGCCCCTGGATACATGTATTGCTCTCCCCTGGGCTATTCGCCCCTACCGTCGCCTCAGAGACTGAGTCCCTCCAGCGCTGGTTTTGCTGAGGCTCTCTCCGGCGACTTGGTAGCTGCCGCAACACCTTCAAACATCGTGGCCGACCATCCTGGAGAGCTCCTCCTCCGCGGGCTCCTCGCCCCTGGCAACAGGCTTAGGGCCTGGCAGCACTGGCGGGGGGGCGTTCGCCCAAGCCCCCAGCGACCCTGCGCCTCGGCCGCCAGCGGCCACCTCCGCCCGCACTGCCTGGCTGTCCTGCTTGGTCACGGGGCCGCTTGCAGTGTTTTCAGAACCACTGCGGCTCCTCCATCTTCTCGCCAAACTGATGGGGGACGCTTCCAAAACTAGGGCACCTTGAGACCGTCGCCTTTTCCTCCAGCGGTCGATGATCCCCACCAGTCGTCGCTCTCTCCCCAGCCTCCTCGGCGGTGGCGAGGCTGGCGGCTCGACACCAACGTCCATGGGCGAATGCTTCCCCCCATGGCTTGGGATTGGCAGGCTGACTGAGATCGGCTCGCTTGCGCCGCGTGCCGTTCTGCACCTCGCAGAAGCAAGGCCCCAGCCAACATAGCATGGGCCAGGAGCAGCTGGAGGAGGAGGGAGGGGGAGCAGAGGCAAGAGGAGGGAGAACGGCCTTCCGTCCTCGGAGGCGCGCGTCCGCGCTGCCGCCGCGCGCCGAGGCACGGGACCTGCCGCACCTCGTGGAGGCGACCAGGGGGGGTCCGAGCTGGCTGGGTCCCGGGAAGATCGGTCAAGAATGGGTGGATCGTTCGGCGGCAACTCATGGGAGCCTCCCATACCATCTTGTCGGCTCTTGCGTATCGACGCTATATCGACTCTAGTCGACGCTAATCGACGCTAAATCGACGCTAACCGACGCTAACTGACGCTAAATCGGCGTTCTCTCATCGACCCCCAGACGCTAATCGACGCTAACCGACGCTAAAGACGGAATTGAAAAGGTACACCAGGCTCCCATGACTTGCTACCGAAGGATCGAGCTTCGATGAATGGGCAACGGGGCGACGAAGAGAAAGGGGTCTTACGCGAGACGACATAGCGACTTCACGCGCTGGCTCGAGCGCGCCGCCAGCGCGGCACGTTACAGTGCAAGCGAGGGCGCTTACGCGCGATCTTACGCGGGCAGCTTACGCGCCAGTGTCGGTGAATACGGCCTTGGTTTTCTGCGTCGCTCCATTGGAACCGTCCTCTCATGTTCTTTCCAATGACGCCCGTGACCGGCCCCGCCACCCCTCCACACCCCCTGGTCACGTCACGAATCGCGCTGGCGCCGTCGGGGGATTAGCTATCATTAGACAAGCGCGTCCCACTGCTCGCAAAGTAACTGCTCGCAAATGGCCTGGATCCGCCGAGAGGGATTTACGGTCCAACAATATCGAGGTACACATGTTTTTCTCCCTGACGTTTGCGATTAGGCACTTTGCGAGTAGTGGAGCACGCTCGGTGATTCATGTGAGCCTCGGTGGAGCTCCACAGACCCCGTCAGAAACGTGATGCCGACCGGATGTGCTCCAAATTTCGACCACCCCTCTTCACCTTTCGTCCAGACTTCGTCCAAATGTCGACCAGATCTGACGAAATCCGGTCAAAAACCCAGCAAAGGATTTGGGGACGCTCTGAGGCTCCCATGAGGCCAGACCCGTTCAAAACGGATTCATGAGCAGTGAGAGTATCCATACCCGCGCCCTCACGGTCTGGATTCCGGGGCGCGATCTGCGGAAACGCATTCGCACGGATACGTTCCTTGCGGGGCCCACGCGAACAAAAACATCCGCTGAAAATATTCGGCGGCGAGCGAGGGCGGGAAGTGAGAAGGAATAGGCCTTCTCAGCAGGCGCCGGGACTTCTCAAAGCCCTCGCGCCCTCTGAGAAGTTGCTTGTTTTGCCTTCGGGGAAGACGTGTAAAACTTCTCAGGAGGCTGGGGGACTTCCGAGCCTTCTGAGAGGCCCTTCTTCTTCTCATTTCCCCCCTCGCTCGCCGGGTCCCTGGGGTCCGTGTGGTGGCGCTTTTCACCCCGGAACCATTTTGACGGTCCTGCCGGGCCCCACGGCGGCCCCGGCCAACCTCAGGACCTCGCCCCTCATTCCTGCTGGCCGGCACCAGCGCTGGGCCAGCTCCGACCCTCAGCTGGCTGGCTCCAACGCGCATCCGCCGCCTTCAGAACGAGGTGGCCGCGCGACGTGACGAACAAACAACACACACACACACACACACACACGCGTATGGGGGGTCGGTGTGAAGAGGGCTGGCATTGGGTATGGGTGCGGGTTGACGGACCCCGGGGGAGGCTCCCGCTCGAGCAGGGACCCCCATCCGACAATACGCTCCCATAGCCCAATATGAGCTCCCCAATATGAGCGACGATCAAAAACAGGTCGAACGCAAGACGACGAAGCGGCCTCAGGCCGCGGTTTACGCGGGCCGCCAGCGCGGCACGCTCCCTTGGCAACGAAGGCCGCTCACGCGCAACCTTGTGCGGGCAGCTCACGCGCCAATGTCGGCGCAGACGATCCCAGTTTCTCTCGTCGCTCATATGTGCGATCTCAGAAACCCTGAACCCAAAAACATGTTCACCTGTTGGGGACGCATTGTGTCCTTCCGCCGCCTTCCGCCGGCGGAGGCGGCCTCGTTTTACTTCCGCCAGGCTTCCGCCGCCATTCCGCCGCGGAAGCGATGGCAACTCCTTCGGCCTTTTTTTCTTTGGAACGCCCCCTGTGGGTCTGGGTGTGTGTAGATGTGTGAATGTGTGTGTGTGTGTTTCTGGGGAAACCAAAAGGTACCGATACCGCTACTCCCGGGACCTCTCCTGGAGTGCGTTCTAACCAGGATTTCGAGGCGAATCCAGCGGTGGCGACGACGAAGACCCAAGAGGCCCCAAAAAGGTGAAAACGAGGGGAGGGTAGAGGTATGGGTACCTTTTCCTCCTGTGGGTGTGTGTGCGTGTGTGTGTGTGTGTGTGCGCGTGTGTGTGTGTGAGTGTGTGTGTGTGTGTGTGTGTGTTTGTGTGTGTGTGTGTGCGTCTGTGTGCGTGTGTGCGTGTGTGGTGCGTGCATGTGTGTGTGTGTTGTGTGTGCGTGTGCGTGTGCGTGGGTGTGGGTGTGTTGTTCGCTCGTCGCGCGACGTCGCGGGCTGCGGCGGCCGGCGGCGCGGCGCGGCGATAACGCAGAGGGCCCGCCGCCGCCGGCCCGCGGCGGGTCCAGCGGTGCCGCGCCGCACAGGAGCGGGCGGCGCGAGGGAGCCCCGTGGCCGAGGCTTCCGACGCCGCGCCCTCGTCACTGGCTCTGGGTCGAGCATGTCCTCTTACACCCAGACTTTTGGAAGGAACACAAAACATAGCCATATACATATATGTATAGTCTACCTGACATCTAATATACATATATAATAGATCATGTGCAACAATAATCAAAACTAGTAGACAGATCGTCCCCAGGTGATCTCTGGGCTATCTTTGAGCAGTCCTCCTGTAGATGGACATGCCCGACTCGACGCCAGCTACGGCAGATTCGTGTCGCGCCGACGTCAGCGTTGGTTTCTCACACCGCGGGGATCGTTCAACCTTGAACGGTCGGCCGCATTCTGAAAAAACATATCCTCCAACATCGACCGATGCTGGGTCGCCAGCGGCGTTCAACGTGGACCGCTGGCGGCGGGGTCGCCGCTGGTCGACACGACGAAAACCTACCGTACGTGGACTCATGGAGACTTTTCAAGGGGCCCAAGGACACACAAATAATTACCACAAATCCCAGGATTCCCAACATTTTCCCATATTTTCTGGGTTGTTGTCTTCCCCCCACTTCCCATATTTTCCCATACTTCTTTGGGAGTCGACGATTTATTGTGTCTGTGTGTTTCTCCCCCTCCTGAACTTTACTGGCGCTACTTGCGCATCGCTCGGGCGTACCTTCCCCGTGCGTGTTCCGGCTTCGTGCGTGCACGTGCTTCCCTGGAAAGGGCGCCGGCCCAGGGTGCTCTTTAGATGTGTACCCCCGATTTCGATGTGAAGATGGCCAGCGGAATCATTTGCAATACAAGCCGCGGTGAAGTCAAACAACAAAAAGCGTTTCGCGCGTGCCCGCTCAAAGAAAACGTGCCCCCGACGGATCCCGGCTCCTCGAAACATATAGTGGGTCCGCATACGCACGCTTTCCCTTGAACAAAAACGGGGCGCGGAGCGTTGTGCGCAAAATCCGCGATCAAAGATCAGGTCTGGAGGTCTTGAAATTTGTCAGGAACGAATAAGACATTTACTTGTGGCGTGCTCGCTCGAAAGGGGCGCGCCCTGCGCGCCGAACTCCTGAGGACGTCTCGAGCGAAACGCTTGGTTTACAGCACTCGAGCGCCCTGGCCGCCCCGGGATGCCCAGGTGGCTCTGGGAGCCCGATCTCACCGACACCTACTGCGAGGGCCCTGGGGGCGCGGACACCATGCAGTTCACAGAGGATCCTGGCCCTGAGAGCGCGGACGCAGCCTGATTTCCGGAGGATCGTGGCCCAGGGAGAGCGGGCGCAGCGTCGTTTACAAGGTATCGTGGCCCTGGGAGTGCGGGCTCAGCGTACTGTAATTTGCAATGGATCGTGGCCCTGGGAGCGCGAACGCAGCGTTATTTACGATGGATTCTGGCCCTGGAGGGCGGACACAATGCACTAGTTGCCCTCGGAGCGCGAACCCGGTGTAATCTACAAGGGACCGTGGCCCTGGAACGTGAATCCTGTGTAATTCCAAATGGATCGTTGCCCCGGGAGCGCGAATCCAACATGATTTTAAAGGGTCCGTTGCCTTGAGAGCGCGACCCCGCGTAATTTACTAGGGATCGCGGCCCTGGGAGCGAGGACGCCGCGTGATTTACGATGGATCGTTGTCTTGGGAGCGCGGGCGCAGCGTTGTCTTGGGAGAGCGGACGCAATGTGATGTACGAGGCACACCTGCGTAACTTACAGGGGATTGAGCGCGAATCCAGCGTACTTTACGATGGGGTCGTGGCACTGGGAGCGCGGACGCCGCGTGATGTGCGAGGGATTGTGGCCGTGGGGTAGCGGATGCAGCATCACTTATTTGTGATTGTGGTGCTGGGAGTGCGGGTCCGGCGAGATGGATCGCAGCCTGGGGAGCGCGGACGCAACGTACTTGAACGAAAGATCGCGTGGCCCGGGCGACAATCTTAGGAGGCTCCAGGTGATCCGCGGCGGGTCCCTCGGCGCGTCCCGTGCCACGTCCAGCGGCACGTTCCCTGACGCGTTCTCTGGCACGTTCCGTGGCGCGTCCCGTGGCGAGCCCCCCCGACACGTCGCGCGGCGCGTCCCCTAGCACGTCTATTGGCACGTTCCGCAGCGCGTCCCCTTGGCACGTCCCCTGGCATGTCCCCTGGCGCGTCCCTTGGGACGTTCCGCGGCGCGTCCCCCTGGCGTGTCCTCCTGGCATCGCCAAATTGCATGTGCAATTGAGGTCCTTAGAAGTGGTTCCATGCTTCGCAGTTCTCAATCCCTTCCCGGGTTCGTGGGTCGATCCTGCTTTCGCAGGATGATCCGAGAAGCTCCTCGATGGTCCTCGCCAGGAACAAAACAGTGCGAAGCTTCACGAACTGCGTGGATCCATGGAGACTCGGCCGGGACTAAGAGGAGGAAATTCCCGAAAGCCTCGCACGGCAACACGAGACCCGATTTACGTCGGATCCACGTCGGGTCTACGCCAAATTTACGTCGGAATCGCGCCAAATTTACATCGGAGCATCGCCGCGAAAACGTCGCCAGATATCTTACGGAGCGGGATTGCGGTCTAGATCATGCAACTATTGCACTCCGCGCGATACCTGCAGGATGTTCTTCATATTTCGGGGACGCACTTGCCCAGGTCAGTGCAAACCCGGGTCAGTTAGGCCTTGTAGGATCATGCACGCTAGCCCTGCACACTAGCCCGGATCAATGCAACCCTGGCTCTGCAGGATCCTGCAGGCTCCAGCGCTCTGGCTGACCCCCGTTTGCATCGACCCCCGACTCAAGGCTCCCGAGCAATACTTCAAAGGAATCTGCTGGCCGGACGGGCCGGAGGCGTGCTGGAATCTCACTGGCAACAGTTTTCGATTGTTGCGCGCATTGTGGCGGACCCTGGGGGTCCCAGCACGAAAAAGACTCTGGGCGGTCTGGGGGCGGTCGGTGTCACGGATGCCGGAATTCCCGTGGGCTGTCTTCAGGGCCCCCAGGAGCGCCCCAGGAGCACCCCGAGGGGCCCCACGGGAGCCCCAAGAGGTCATTCCAGTCGAGATGGCCTCCATGAATTCATGGAAGGCTTCAAGATAGCCTCCGAATTGTCAGATGCACCTCCAAATTGTCAGATGCAACTCCAAGAGGTCCCCATGAGGGCCAGTTTCATGGATTGTGATTGGATGTTTGAAATATGTTGGCGTTACTACCGTTTCAGTTTTGCACAACTCATACCCAGAGGCCCCCAGGACGGCCACAAGACGGCCCAAGATGGCCCTAAGACGGCCCCACAGGCCTCTCAAGAAACCTCCAGCACCTCCATGCGGATCCGACGAGGGGAACCTGCACTGAAACTTCGAATCCGACGGATGGCCCCCCCACACCGCCAGACAGCCGCCAAGAGGGCTCCAAGAGACCTCCAAGGGGTCCCCGAGAGGCCCCCAGGAGGCCCCACGAGGCCACCAAGAGGCCACCGCGAGACCCCCAAGAGGCCCCACGAGGCTCCCCAAATGTCCCCGCGAGCACGCAGGCAAATGCTAGCGATGCTACTGTGAGCCACGAAGGGGCTCCCAAGACGGCCAAGCTTGCCCAAGAGGGCCTCAAGGGCAGTCCAAGAGAGGCCCCGAAGGGGCTCAAGAAAGGCCCCCAAGGGGGACACGAACGGCCATTTCGAGCCCTCTGCCCCGAGACGCCCTTGACTGAACACGCAACATTTCAAAGAAGTCACCACCACCCATCAACGCCGCAATGGCAATAGACACGCGGGCAAACGCCCGCGATGAAATAGTCTGGGCCGGCGGAATGGGCGAAACGAGTTGATAATTAACAAGGCGGGGGGAAGTAAGGAGAACAACAACATTCAAACACAAGTCTTCGGGGAAACAGGTTCTAGACCAAAAAGCCGGCGACCGCCCCCACGACCACATTCCAGCCGCGAGCGAGGGGGGGGGAAGTGAGAAGGACAAGGCCCTCTCAGAAGGCGGCGGGGCTTCTCAGAAGTCCCCCGACCTCCTGAGAGGTGTTCGGTGTCTTCGGGGAAACATTTCGAAGAGGCTGGGGAACTTCCGAGCCTTCTGAGAAGGCCTGTCCCTTCTCACTTCCCCCCGGCGCTCGCCGCTAATCCTCGCTCCTTCTCCCCTTTCCCCCCCCCTTTTTTCATCATCCTCCTCCTCCTCCTCCTGCCTCCCTCCTCCTGCCTCCCTCCTCCCCTCCTTCCTCATCCCTCCTCCTCCCTCCCCCCCTCCGGTCGCCGCCGATTCCCGTCGTCGAGGGAGGAAGCGAGGACGCAGCCCAGAGCCCAGAGGCAGCCCCTGGATGGGGCCCGCGGCCGCGGCCCTCAGCTGTCGCCCACACCAGTGAGGCCAAGGCCGAAGCCCTTCGGGATGATGCCGGCCTTCTGGTTCGCCTGCGGGTCCGTGCTGGCCCGCCAGGCGCCTCGTCCTCCTCCTGCTCTGACGGGGGGAGCGCACGAGCGGCGAGCGCGCTCGCGTCCGCGCCTGGGCGCGAGATGATGGGGGGGCGATCAATGGGGGGGCCCGTTTCGGGCCCTCGAGGCCCCCCTTCTGGGCCAGGGGCCCTGAACTAGGGCCCGCTTCCGGCAGCCCTCGCTGCCCCCCCGTACATTGTCCCCCCCTTGCGCGCCCCCCAGCGCGCCCTCGCAGTCCGGATTCCAGGGCGCGATCCCGGGGATACGCTCAGGTCGGGCATGTCCCCCTACAGGCGGATGTGGGACGAAAAATATACATACCCGACAAATAGTAACACAACATATAGAAAGCTCGTCCCCTGACGATTTTGGGATCAGTTTTGAAGATTCCGCCTGTGGATGGACACGCCCGACTTAAGGATACGCGGTCGCACGGATACACGTCGGTCGGAAGAAGTAGGTAAAAACATGAAGTAAGAAGGCGGACAAAGTGGATTGGGTCCAGGCCCTCCCGGGGAACAACAACACACAGCAAAAGCATGCCGATTCTTGAAGTAGGAAGGCGCTTGAAATAGAGTGGTATCTGGGAATCCAGAAATACCCACTTTCAACGACCGGCGTGTACTTTTCGCGCGGGGCCCCCGCGGAAAAAAAAACGCCGTGTCCGCGGGTCGCGGCCCAGGAGCCCGGCCCTCGGGGCCGCGGATGCGGATATCTATATCGCCCTCGCTCGGGCGTCCATTTTCCCCCAACATGGTGTCGGCGTCGTGCGTGTCGCCGGTCGTTGAAAGTGGGTATCTTTGGAGTCCCAGATCCCAATCTACTTCAAGCGCCATCCTACTTCACGAATCCACGCGCTTTTGCTGTGTTTTGTTGTTCTCCGTCGAGATGAGCCGAGATGCTCATCTATGGTTCTCGCCGCGAAGACTTTCCTTGCGAAGGACCCAACCATGTGCAGTTTTGGATCCCGTCGTTGCGGGCATCGCCGTTGGGGGATATCCTCATGATGCCATGAAGCACGCGAAGCGCTGGATTCTGTCAGGAGACGCGCACGCGGCCTGCGGCCACTGGGGCCTTCGGTGGTGCTCCCCATGGAGCCACAGAACACTGGACTGAAAGTGAGAGACGCGTGCGCACAACGCCACTGGGGCCCTCGGTGGAGCTCCCTGTGGGGCCACGAAGCGCTGTCCTGAGTGTGGGAGACGCGTGTGAACACCGTCTCCGGGGCATTCGGTTCCCTATGGGGCCACGAAGCGCTGTATTGGGTGGGGGAGACGCATGCGAACACCGCCTCTGGGGCCTTCGGTGGAGCTCCATATGGGACCACGAAACACTGTAGTGGGTGGGGGAGACGCCGGCGAACACCGCCACTGAGGCCTTCGGTGGACCTCCCCATGGGCCCACGAAGCGCTGCACTGGGTGGGGGAGACGCATGTAAACATCGCCACTGGGACCCTCGGTGGAGCTCCCTATGATTCCACGACACACTTTACTGGGTGGTGGAGACGCATGCGAACAGCGCCACTGGGGCCTTCGGTGGAGCTCACTATGGCGCAACAAAGCGCTGTTATCAGTGGAGGAAACGCATGCGAGCACGGTGGAGCTGCCTAGGGGACCACGAAACGCTGTCCTGATTGTGGGAGACGCGTGCGAACACCGCCTCAGGGGCCTTCGGTGGAGCTCCCGATGGAGCCACGAAACGCTGCACCCCGTGGGGGGGACGCATGCGAACACCGCCACTGAGGCCTTCAGTGGAGCTCCATATGGGACCACGAAGCGCTGGACTTGGTGGGGGAGACGCGTGCAAACACCGACACTGGAGCCTTTGGTGGAGCTCCCGATGGGGCCACGAAAGGTTGTATTGGGTGGGGGAGACGCATGCGAACAGGGCCACTGGGGTCTTTTGGGAGCCCCCTATGGGGCCACGAAACGCTCTATGGGGGTGGGCAGGCGCATGCAAACACCGCCACTGGGCGGTTGGGTGGATTCACTATGGGGCCACGGAACGCTATACTTTGAGGCATGAAAAACGACCCTACCCTGGGTTACAAGTGCGTAGTCTGTAAACCTCCTGGGAACCCCCAAAGCCTAGAGCCGCCAGGACGCGGCACATCACGCAGGGTTTACCCTGTCAGCCCACAGGAGTTTCAGCGCACAGCGCCTCGTAAACCAGGGTAGGGGCGTTCTTGGTGCCCTAGAATACTGAGGGGGGGAAACGCATGCGAACACCGCAGTTGGGGCCTTCGGTGGAGCTCCTTGCTGGGGCCCCCATTGGGCCACCCCACGCTGTACTGGGCGGGGGAAACGCGTGCGAGCATTGTCACTGAGGCTTGCGGAGGAGCTCCTGTGGGACCACGAAAGCAGAAGCCCCCCGCCTTCTCAGAAGGACGCCCCCCTCCCCCGCGCGCGCCGCCAAGAGGTGCTCAAGACGAAGGCAGGACGAAGAAAAGAAGTTTGACCAGACGTAATGCTCTGATGAGGACCAGGAGAGATTCGGGTAGATTTTGCATTTCTCTGGAGTGCGACTTCCACGCCTCACCGCGGCAGCGCCCTTTCCAGCCGCACACCGCAGAAGTCGAGCGTGGTCGGACGACGCTGTCGTCCTTGGGCTCTGCGAGAACAGGCAAGGAATCTCCGAGAACTGCCGGGTCTGGAGGATGTGTCGGGCGTCGTGGCCGTTCCAGAGTGCTCCAGAGCCGATTCGGGGCGCTCTGGAGCCAGTTGTCTCCATCCTGGGCCGTGTTCCGTGGGCTAGTCTTCTTCCCGCCGCACCCTGCGCTGACGGGAGACGCCAGGAACAACCAGGAGCCGCCGGAAATGTGGGGGGACAAACACCAAAACCGGCCAGAAACCGTCGGGCATGGAAAGTGAAACGCCAGAAACGGCCGGAAACCGCCGGATCTGGGGGGAAGGGGGGTGGCCGGAAACAAAAACACACATATACATATACATATATATATATACATATATAGGCCTGTGGAGGTCACAAGCAGCCGCTGACGGCGCACACACACAGACACACACACACACACGCACACACACACGCACGGACGCACGCACGGCAAACACGCACGCACATCCGCACGCACGCACGCACGCACGTACGCACGTACCCACGCACGCACGCACGCACGCACGCACGTACGCACGTACCCACGCACGCACGCACGCACGCACGCACGCACGCACGCACACACAACACAACACAAATACAAACACAAGCACAAGCACACACACACACACACACACACTAAGAGAAACACAAACACCAACACAAACACACACGCAAATACAAACACACACACACACATACACACACGCACACTCACACACACACACACACATCCAGGGCCCATCTGCCCCAGGAGCCCCCTCACAGGGCCACTGCAGGGGGAGGATGACCTCTTAGATCTGTATTCCCGGTGGTTCAGGGGCTCCCAAGAGGGGTGCGTCCAAGAGAGGAGGGGCGAACCTCATGGCCGGCGGCATGTGCGCGGCCCAGGGGAGGCCGGTGACGCATTAAAATAAGAAGTGGCACCATGAAATCTGGGGAGATATCATGGCCCTCCTCCTCCTCCTCCTCCTCCTCCTCCTCCACGCCAAGCGGCCCTGATGCCCACCCCCGCCTAGTCAGCATCCCCCTCTCTGTGGTGGTATCCTGGCCGCGGCGCCTGGAGGCGTGGGGGCGGCGGCGGCGACGGGGCGACGACGGGGAAGCGAGGAGGGTCTGGGCGGTCGGGGCGAGCCGTGCGCATCTGCACGATCTCCTCCCGCTCGGTGAGCTGGTTGTAGCAGCCGTGGCAGATGACCTTCGGGAGGGGAAGGGGGGGGTGAGGGGCGCAGTCAGCGAGCAGGGCTCCAGCGAAACTGTGTGCTTTCGCGTTCGTTTTGTCTTCGCTTCCCCTCGCCCCGTCCCGCTTCTGCCCCTGCTGCGAGACGGAGCCAAAACGACGACGGCCCACAAAGTCGCAAGAAAAACCGTTGAGCTCAGGCCCCTGGCCTTCGGGAGGGAGGAGGAGGAGGAGGAGGAGAGGGAGGATGAGGAGGAGAGGGAGGAGGAGGAGGAGGAGGAGGAGGAGGAGGAGGAGGAGGAGGAGGAGGAGGAGGACCTTTTGGACTTTTTGTTAAGCACAGCGTGCCGCGGGGGGAACGAGAGAAAAACCACTCAGCACCCAAGGTGGCTGCCGAACGGCAGCCGCCCCCCGACCCTTCGACCCCTCCGAACGGAGGGCGGCGAGAGGTCGCCGAGCGTGGCGGGGTGGGTGCTGAGGACTTGCCCCAAGAGCGCGCTGTGCCTCCGTCGCGCTCGAGGGAGCTCCGACAGCCAAGGCTCCCAGACCCTCGTCTGGGAACTGAGGCGGCGTGCTGCCCGAGGCACGCCCGCGGTGAGCGCGGGGCCTCGGCACCGCCGAAAGGCGGGGGGGTTTGAGGTGAACCCCGAACTCAAATCGACCACCCCTCGGCACGCCAGCGGTGAGTGCTGGGCCGAGGCACCGCCCTAAAGGCGGGGGGGTTTTGTAGGGAAACCCCGAACCTATGCGAACGACGGCGGTCGACGCGGGTGACCGCCGCCCCCACGGCACGCCAGCGGTGAGTGCTGGGCCGTGGCACGCCGAAGCGGGGGGTTTTAAAGGATAACCCCGAACCTACCGTATCACCAGGCTGGTGGCCCAAGTCCTGCACGGCGAGCGGCGGCCTTGATGAATCCGCTGGGGTTGCGGATCTTGGCCTTCATCGCGATCATCTCCTCCACGAGCTGCGAGGCCCAGTAGTCACCAAAACCCGCCAAAGCGGACACGGCCTCGTCGTCGATGGGATTGAAAGCGAACTCGCGGGTGTTGAGAACCTCCACCATCCGCTTGGCACGCAGGTACATCATGTCCTCGTCAAGCGGAACGGGCCCTGGAGAAGAAGAACAGGAAGAAATCTTCTCGGCGCCGACACCGAAGGAGAGCCCAGAGGACTTGGCGGCATACTCGATCTCGCCCTCGGACTCCTGGTTGGCTCCACTCGACGCTTCAGCAAGAACCTCCTCGCCGTCGGCGGGGCTCACCACCTCCCGCACGGCGGAATCCTCGTGAAAGCTGGGAAGCGCGCCGCCCTTCTTCTCCCCAATCAGCTCGGTGATGCAGTCGCTGACGACCTTAGCCTCGATATGCTGGAGCTCCTGTGAGAAACCCCAGGCAACGGCACGAGTCGCCATGAGCTCGTCGCAGAGGCTGTCGGCGACCGCCTGACACTCCTGAAGGCGACCCTCGGCCGAAGAGAGCAGCTCCTGGCACTCGGCGACCCGCGCGCGCTCGACCAGCAGCATGCCCTCAGCCTCGTCCGCGCGCTGGCTGTGGGCGAAAGCCTCCTCCTTGACCAGCGCCAGCTCCTGCTTGACCCGCGCCAGCTCCTGCAGGGACCCAGACAGGCCGTCCCCGCTGCCCGACGCCGAGTCGGAGTGATAGCCTTCGTCCCCGCTGGCACCCGTGGAACAGCAGGTCGGGGGGTCAGCCGCGCACGAAAAAGCGCCGTGGATCTTGTCCAGCAGCTCACGGTGCGGGTGCGCGCAAGCGCGCCGGCCGTTGCGCAGGCTGACCCACTCCTTGGCGAGCTCGCGGTGCCCGCCGTCCACGAGACGACGACGAATGTCCTCGCCCGTGGCCTTCTTGTGGTCGTGCCCGTACTTGATGAGCACGTCCTCGTAGCCGTCGATGACAGCGCAGGCCGAACAGGCCTCCAGAACGCCGCCAATGCCGGCTCCCGCCGCCGGAGCAGCAAGGCAGGCGGTGGCCGCCGCCACCACCGCCTCCTTGAGAAGCCACTCCCGGAGCGGCCGCTTGACCACCGTGGCGCTGACCGAAGAGAGCAGCGCTGCAAGCTTGGCCTCGACCGCCGAGCACGCCGACATGGCGAACTGGGCCGAGGGCACGAGGGAACCGTATGCAGGGTGCGCGGAGCAAAACTGGCGAGCCAGCCCCTTGAGCCAAAAATGGCTACGGAGGAGGAGGAGGAGGAGGAGGAGGAGGAGGAGGAGGAGGAGGAGAAGGGGTCGGGAGAGGCAGCGTCCGCAAGGGGGCCAGCTCAGGGCGGGCAGGCAAGGAGCCGACGTGGGCGGCACGCGCCGCTGACAGGTCGGCGATGGGCTCCCGATGGCGAAGCCGCTGGCTCCTGGGCGGGTCGGGAGCCGTCGGGCCCCTGCGGTCAGGTCGGGCAAGGCCCCCTGCAGGCAGATGTTGGACGAAAGACAAACAACACATGCGAAAGAACCTGCGCCAACATAGTCAAACGTACTCACGACAGCCTCCCCAGACTAGTCTTTGACTACGTTTGAATGTTCCTCCTGTGGAGGGACAGGCCCGACGGAACCCTACGGGCAAACAACGGGCGATTGAGGGTCTCAGCGTTCCCCCCCCCCCAGAGCCCGTCCCCCATCCTGGTCGTTGCCCCCGAGGGAGGGGAGGGGCTGTGCGTCCACTCGTGGCCTCCAGGGGGGGGCTGGGGGGCCTCGTCGCCACGGCTGGACGGGCCCCGAGACCCTGGACGGAGCGTGCCCTGCAGCAGGTCGACGAGGGGCGGCTCGGTGGGGGGGTCGACTCTGAAAGCGCATGTGGGCCCCGGGGCCGCGTGCTCAGCAGACGACCTGGGGTGAACCTCGGTTTCGGAGAGCGGGTCGAGAGTGCAAGGGCAGGGCTGGCGACCGGGGAGAGGAGGAGGAGATAACGGGGAGGAGGACGGCGGCAAGGCTCTTTCGACTACCGGGCGACTTTCAGACCACACGTGGAGCCTGGACCCCCAGGCCAGATTTCTGAGAAAGCGGCCGGGCTTCAAGCTTTGAAGGACGTGTGCAGCCCAATGAACCCCAGCAGGGTGTGTCCGTTACCTCAGCGTCGAGTGGACCCGTAGAGGCATTTGGAATCGGTCGGGGAACTACGGTCGGGCGTTGCAGGAGCTTTGCCCTCACAGGTCCGCAGGGTGCGGTAGAAGCGCCCAGCCTGACCCCGTCCCGTCGACGAGCGAGGGCAGCCTCGTCTTTGTCGCAAGCATCGGCATGAGCCGTGTCGCGTGCGCTCGTCTGGTGCTCGGTGCCCCTCGTCTTGTCTTCGGTACGAACTTGCTGGCCAAGGGGTCGACACGAGCATGGCCTGCGACACAGTTCGGGTCGAGCTTGGAGGAGGCGGCCGGGGGGCCTGAGCTGCGCGGGCACCAGAAAATCAACCAGGAGAGGGGACGACTCCGAATCCGCTCAAACCCCAAGATTGAGATTGCCCAGGCATCAAGCCGAATCCGCAACATCTGTGCCTGTACCCCTCCCGGGGTCCATCTGGTGCACTTCTCTGCGCAAGATGAATCATTCTTCCAGGCCCCCGGGCCCGGAAACGGCCCCGGGAGGCTGGACGTGGCAGCTAAGGCCCTCCCGCAAACCCAGAGCCTCGAACCGCCCCGCCCTTCCCGCGGGCCAGAGCCGGTGCTGGGCCATGACCTCAGACCCCCAGACGGCTCCGAGGTGGAGCCCGGCCTTGTGGAAGCACCTCCGGGGCCGACCGGGAGGCCTCGCCCGGGTGGCAGGGAGCGGGGGAGGCCGCAGGGCACTCGCGAGGGTCGGGCGAGGGAGCGTGGGCTCGGCTCGCGGGAGGGAGGGCCGGGAGGAACGTCTGCGGAGGAGGGAGGCGGAAGGAGGTGGACAAGGACAAGGACACCCGCACAAGAGGGGGTGCAGCGTCAAGACACGTACACGCTGGTGTCTCGCGCACTGCTGCCAGAATCCCCTGCGATCGGCTGTGCCAGAGCCCTGCCTTGAAGGACGAGGGAGGGGAGGGAGGAGCAAAAATAGGAGGAGCAAACATGGGAGGGAGGGAGGGAGGAGGGACGAGGGAGGGAGGGAGGGAGCTACAGCCCTGCCTTGGAAGGACGAGGGAGGGGAGGGAGGGAGGAGCAGAAATGGGAGGCCACGTGCGGGCCCTACCCCCTGCCCCCCCCCGACTTCTGCGGGGGAGGGCGGGGTTCACTTCGCTCGGGAGCTCCCGGACGATGTGAACCCCACCCTGCCCCACAGAAGCCGTGGGGGCTATGGGGTAGGGTTCGCATGCGGCCGCCCCATAAAAAGAGGGAGGGAGCAGAATGAGAAGGGAGGATGGAAGGGGGAGAAACAAGAAGAGGGAGGGACGAGAAAGGGGAGAGAGGGAGGGGAGGAGAAACAAGAAGAGGGAGGGAGAACGAGGAGGAGGAGAAGGAGGAGGAGGAGGGAGAGAGAGAGAAAACAAGGGAGAGAGGAGAAACAAGAGGAGGGAGGGAGGGAGGAGGGAGAAGGGAGGGGAGGAGGAGGAGGAGGGAGGAGGAGGAGGAGAGGAGGGAGGAGGAGGAGGAGGAGGAGGAGGAGGAGGAGGAGGAGGAGGGAGGAGGAAGAGGAGGGAGGAGGAGGAGGGAGGAGGAGGAGGAGGAGGAGGAGGGAGGAGGAGGAGGAGAGGAAGAGGGAGGGGAGGAGGGAGGAGGGAAGGAGGAACCTTGTGCGTGTCCGTGGCCTCTGCAGGCCGCCCCCAGGGCCCCCGTCGCCCGTGGCTGGATTTTCCCCGTCGGCGTCCTGGTCGGGGCGCGCCTCCGAGGGCCCAGCCGAGGGCCCGCGGCCAGCGCCCCTCAGGGCACCGCCGGGGGGCCGCCGCAGGGGGCGCCTCCCCTCCACCGCGCCGCCGCCCGGGGCGGCAGGCGGCGCGCCCCGCGCCCCAAGGAGAGGGGCGCCCGGCGCCGGAGCCCAAAGCGGCGACGGCAGGGCGCCCACCGACCTCTTTTGGCATAATATGGGAACGCCGCGCTCTCCACGACGAGAGCCTCGACACCCATAACCAGCCTGGAACATGTCCCTAGCCCTATACGGGGCACCTCCTCATCACGATGCCAATCTTAGGGATTCCCTTATTTTCTGAGGGCGCATCCCTAAGATTGTCATCGCCTTTTGGCGTGTCAATTTTAGGGACAGGGATACGTTCGAGGCTGGTAAACCCAGGGCTCCACGGCGGCAAGAGCGTGGGGCGTCTCTTGGCGCGGGCCTCCGCCGTGCCTCCCCCCTGCGCGGGACTTCCTCGGCCCCCCCCGTCCGCTGGCCCCTCCCTCCACGCCCGAGCGGGTGCCCTCGTGCCCGCGCCATCCGCCCGTGGGTGCGGGGCCAGCCTTGGCGCCCCTGGAGGTGTTCCAGAAGACCTTGTAGTTGGACTGCTTCACCTGGGGCGCGAAGAGGATACTCGGGAGCGGCCAAGAGGGGGGCGTCCAAGAGGGGGGGGTGCAAATCATGACCGGCGGCATGTGCGCGGCCCAGCGGGGGGGGGCAGGGACGTAATGAAATAAGAAGAGGCGCCATGAAATCTGTGGACATATCATGGCCCCCGCCATGATATCCAACCACCCCTAATCATCACCCCCCTCTTTTCCGCCCCCGAGATACGGGGGAGGAGGGGAGAGGAGACGGGGAAATAGGGCGGGAGAGGAAAGGGGGTGAATGGAGAGGGGATGGAGGAGGGACGAGGGACGACGGCAGGGGTCGAGGTGCGAGGTCGAGGGATGAGCGGGTCAAGGAGGGAATGTGCAGGAGAGGCTCCAACAGATGCGTGTAACAGCGCGCAGGTGCATGTGAACACGATCGGGTACAAGTAAGACACCCACTTGCGGGTGAGAGCATACGAATGCATCTGCATCGCTCGAGACGCATGCATGTGAAAGAACACGCAGATGCCTTAACATCTCACGGATGCATGTGCCAGCCCACACGAATTGGATATGCATGTTCATGTAACGGAGGCGTGTGAAACGTACATATGCATGCGAACAGAAAGAGAAAGAGAGAGAGAGAGAGAGGGAACGAGGAGGAGAGAGAGGCACGTGTCATGCACACACAGACGTGTTCCTTGGCGAGGCCGTTCGAGACAAACGACTGTTTCAAGTGCTCCGAGGCGGCGGTGCAAACTCTGCGCAGCGTGGCATCGAACCTCCATTTGGTTCCTCTGTGCACATGTGCAAGTTGGGGCCCACATGGCCGTCTCCGCTGCCGTACGGGCGCGTCCACAAGCCAACCGGTCGATCCGCACGGAGGGAACCCGAAGGAGAGATGGGGAGGAAGGAGAGACGAGCAAAGCGGACGGGGCGGAGGAAGCAGCGGAGCCGAGGCTAGGCGGAAGGGGCCAAGAAACAATCCAGGGAGACCTGCTTCCCTTCCGCCTCCACACTCCGCACGGCCCCTCGCCAGGCGGCAGGGTGACGCCAGGGGAGCGGCGCGTGCACCACCTCTCGTCGACACCCCTGCTCGGACTCCGCCCCCTGCCCTCCCCCCATCTCGCTCATCACTCCCCTCCGTCCCCACCCTCCCTCCTCAACCTCCCCCGCCTCCCCTTCTTCCTCCTCCCCCTCCTCCTCCCCCTCCTCCTCCTCCTCCTCCTCCTCCTCCGCCTACTCCTCTTCACCCCTCCCCCCACTCCCCGTCATCCCCCTCCTCCCCCTCCTCCCCCTCCCCCTCCTCCTCCTCCTCCTCCTCCTCCTCCTCCTCCTCCTCCTCCTCCTCCTCCTCCTCCCATTCCTCATCAGCATCACTCCCCCTCTCGCACCTTCGCCTCCTCTCCATCCCACTCCTCACCTACAGGTACCCGCAGAGGCCCCCCAAACCGAACCCAGAACACCGAGGACCCCAAGAAAGACCAGAAGGCCGACCAGAGTCCGATTGCGTATAACTAACAGCATGCGGTCTTCTTTGGAGTTCCAGGTCCGCTATGACACGCGTCGGCGGATAAAGAAACATCAACGCAATGGGGAGGGATGGGTGGGAGGGGTAGGATGTCAGGTATGGCGCTACCGCACCGAGCTTGTCTCATCCGCTCTTTCCTCCCCTGGTTCCCCTGCCGCTGCTCGCCCCATATTCCCGATGCAGAGATAGAGCGGCGGTTGGCGATTGTGGCAGCGCGGGCCTTGTCGCAGCGCCAGCACATGTATCCCAGCAGGTAGTCGTACTTCTTGGGCTGCATCTTCGTCTGTTGTCCGCGCGGGGGGGCGGGGGCAGAGGAGGGGGGATCTTGTTTCCCCCCCATCCTGTGGTGTTGGGTTTGAAGGGGCCCTGGGACACATAAATAACTAAACACAACAAACAAGATTCCCCATATGTTCACATATTCCGCGACCCCTCAATCAGATCGGACCCACTGGAAGCGGGAGAGAGCCCTGCCCAGGTCGCCGCCGCCTGTGGCAGCACCACACCAAGGGGCTGGAAGAGCAACTACGCCTAAACACACCCACAGACACACACACACACAGAAACACACATACACATGCATTGTTGTATCTATGTGTACTGAGATGTGTATGTGCAATGTACATATATATATATATGTATATGTATATATGTATATATGTGCATATGTGTATATATGGAGACATATGTGTACTTACATACACATGTACATACATGTGTTTTATCTATGTATAGATATAGATACAAATATCGATGTGACCTGCCCCGGTTTCTCCACGTGCGTGGGGGTGAATCGCGTGGTGGTTCGAATGGGCCTGCCCGGCGCTGGGGAGCGGCTTCGACGAGCGCGTGGGGGGGAGGGGCCGGAGCGGGCCGTCGGACGGCGGGGCAAGGGGAGAACTCTCCAATGGAACCGCCTGGAGCACACAGCACACAAGCCGTCGGAGGCCCGCGCGGACTGCGTGCATCGGCGATGACTCCCCTCGGGGGGCCAAGGGGGGGGCGTCCAAGAGGGGGGGGTGCAGATCATGACCGGCGGCATGTGTGCGGCCCAGCGGGGGGGCCAGGGACGTAATGAAATAAGAAGAGGCGCCATGAAATCTGGGGAAGTATCATGGCCCCCACCATGATGTCCACCCCCCCCTAGTCATCACCCCCCTCTTTGCCGTCCCCGACCCCCCCGCCCTCGGCGGCGCCTCCCGGGGATCCAACGCCGATGCGAGAACCCTGCGCGGACCTCCGAACATGTGTGTCACTGTGCACGTTGCTGTTTTGCTTCTTGCGCGGGGACCGGCCGTCCCAGCACTCCTGTAGGCCTACTGCGACATGTTCTTAGAACGGTGCAAAGTTGCAACAACAAGCGTCATGCCCTTGATAGCGTAGAACAAATCCCACCCGCCCTCTGGGCGCAGGTGGTCTAGAGCGTTTCCTTTTCCAACATCCTGCCTTTCCCTGCCCGGGAGGTTTACCTCCCCCCCCATCCCTGGGTTTGGACGGGGGGCCGACCCATAGCAGCGTCCAAGATGGCCCAAGATGGCTCCACGAGGGCCCCAGAGACTCCAAGATTGCCTCCCAGAAAGATAGCGGTAGATGGATCAAGATAGCCTCGGACATGCATCCAACAGGCCTCAAGGCAGCCCCAAGACGGTTTCAAGTGCCCTCCGAGCCCTCCGAGGACCCCCCCGACAAGTCAAAATCATTGAAAAACTTAGGGAATGCACTGTGCCATTTTTTCGCCTCCGATGGGCTCTTGAGGCCTCAAGATGGCCCCAAGGCGGCCCAAGATAGTCCCACGAGGGGCCCAAGAGGGCCCCAAGATGGCCCCAAGAGCGCTCCAAGAGCGGCCCAAGAGGGCCCCAAGACAGCATGTTTGAGCCTCCGAGGGGGGGGACATGTCTCTTTTAGCGATAGGGTCCAAGACGGCCACACGAGGCCCCTCAGGCATCCCAAAAGAGCCCCAAGAAGGCCCCCAGACCGCCCAAAAGCGTCCCAAGAGGGCCCCAAGACGCCCAAAAAGAGCCCCAAGAGGGCTCCAAGAAGGCCCTAAGAGGACCTCAGGAGAGCCTGAAGAAAGAGCTCCAGGAGGGCCCCAAGAGAACCCCAAGAGAGCCCCAAGATGGCTCCAAGTTTCGAAGCGCACGCGAGTTTTTGAAGATACAAATCAGTGCAACAGCCATTACGAGTCATCCCAACACCCCTCACCCCTCATCGAAGCACTATCTTTGCTTGCACTGATTTCCATCTTAAACGTCAATGCGGGAAGCTCTTTGTGATCCTTGTTTTCCCGAAGACGGCTGCGCAATTGCATGCGCCCTGCCGCACCTGATTCACGGACTCCCCTGCTGATCGTTTCTGGATAGGCTGATGGGGATATGCGAAACGTCAAGAATTGATTCCAGCAAGGCTGCCGCAGCCAGAAATGCTCTCAGAACATTTCGTGCAAACCGCTCACAGGTTATCAGAACATCCTTTGGCAGGCGCATGCGCGAGTCAGGACGCTTCGCCACTGCTTGGGCTTCTGCTCCGAGGCCAGCCGACTCGTGAACGCGCCCCTGGGCCGATGGCGCACTGGCAGGGCTGTTTCCCATGCTGGGGGCGTGCCGCTCCTCACGCTCGGCTGGGCCGTCGGCTGCACGTGGCCTCCTCCGTCGTCGAAGAATGAGCGACCGAAATCCCGGGCGAGTGCATGCATGTTGTACATGTACGTGCAAATGTATAGGCACCTCGCATCCTGTACCATCCCCACGCCCAACTGGCAAACATTGGCTCCGTGCTGACCTACCGCTCCTAGGTGGGGATGGGTGCCATGCCCTGAGAGCTTCGCAGCCAAAGTATGAGCCACATTACCCTGTCCCAGTCGGGGTGTCGATGGTTCTAGCGATGGTGATTGTGTACACCGCTGTCAAATTATACATGTGTCTATATACACACACACACATCTGTATATGTCTATATATATATATATATGTACGAGGACCACGCGCGCGCTTCGTTCGCGCTTAGGTTCTAGCGCATGTCTCGAGAATGGACTGAGTACCGCAGTTGTGAGCATCGTCTTCGGTGGAGCTCC